CGGCAGGTTTCAAAGCTAAAGAGGCGTATATGAAATCTCCGACACTGCGGTGGGTACAATAGGTCATAAACGGACGGCACTGGCTCTGGAACGACATCCTCGGTACCAATTGTCCGTAAGGCTAAGCCGATGTGGGCGTCCGTCTCCGCGACGGTCACCCCTCGTCCCCTCGGGCGCCGCACGCCGCGGAAGAGAGGGGAGAGGGGAGCAAGGAGCAGATCGCGGGGCAGGGGGGGCCTCATCAGCGGCTGGATAGACCTAGCAAGAGACCTCAGGTTATCCCGTATCAGCACAGAATTTCCCACAACCTGAAAAAGGTGGCGGGAAGGTTTGATGTCCCTGTCGTGTTTTCGGCGCCTCGTAAGCTGGCACACCTTTGTTCTAAAGTAGCCGAGAGGAGGGGGGGTGGGAACCAATGCACTGTAAACCACAGAAAGAAGTACGTGGATTGTGCGATCGGAGTGGTGTACAGGATCCCGTTAAGCTGTGGAAGAGTTTACATGGGGCAAACGGGCCGTTGCATAAATGAAAGGGCACGCGAACATGACTGGTCGCTTAGTTCAACAGCAGGAGGGCATTTGCCCCTGCACTGCGGAACATGCAAATGTCATCCTGATTTCAATAAGATCACAATCATGGGGAGGGGAGCAGATAAAACAGCCAGGGAAATTTTAGAAGCGTATGGAATAAAGAAGGAGGGGGAACAGAACTGCGTGAGTCAAACTTCTGTGTATTTACATAAGAAGGAGATTACTTTCATGGACACGTGTTGATGCGAGTGTGTTTTTTTGTGGGTGTTTTCTTCGTTGGGTCCTTTTCAATAAATATTCAGTTGTCAGTTCAGCGCTCGTCCTGTGTACTCCTTTCCTCCCGTCCTTGTCGTTTGCGCGCTGTTTCCATTATTTCTATTTCTAGGCAGGGGGGGCGCAGGGGAGGGTGGGGCGAATACCCCCGGATAGTTGCAAAGCCGTCGTCGTACCGGACATAGAATTAAAAGTACAAATTTAAAAGATAAAACATTAAAGTAAAACTTAAAATAAATACAAATAAATACGCATGCCTCGGGTCATGCGTATTTATTTGTCCTGCTGCACACAATGTTACTCGGTCTTGACCCGAGGCATGCGTATTTATTTGTATTTATTTTAAGTTTTACTTTAATGTTTTATCTTTTAAATTTGTACTTTTAATTCTCTGTCCGGTACGACGACGGCTTTGCAACTATCCGGGGGTATTCGCCCCACCCTCCCCTGCGCCCCCCCTGCCCCGCGATCTGCTCCTTGCTCCCCTCTCCCCTCTCTTCCGCGGCGTGCGGCGCCCGAGGGGACGAGGGGTGACCGTCGCGGAGACGGACGCCCACATCGGCTTAGCCTTACGGACAATTGGTACCGAGGATGTCGTTCCAGAGCCAGTGCCGTCCGTTTATGACCTATTGTACCCACCGCAGTGTCGGAGATTTCATATACGCCTCTTTAGCTTTGAAACCTGCCGCCCTAACGTGGGAACGCGCTCAAATACAACTTTTTTTTTTTTTTATATGTCTTTTTATTTTTATTTTTCGTGACGTCACGTCCTCCTCGCCCCATTGGCCCCTTACTGCTTTGCACAGTCTGATGCCCTCACATGTATGCCATCTCCTGACGAAGCCGAGCCTCTCGGCGAAACTGTCGAAATACATGCAATAAACTCCTAGCATAGCAACTCCGCAAGTACGGATCTCTGACTTATATATATATATATATATATATAGGTTTTTTTTTATTCTTACACATTTGTTTAAAACAGCTGTGAAAGCTACACTAATGCGGTTTGTGCAGGTGGGTCGATACGACCAGGCGGACATTATATGGGTGGCTAATCTTTGGGACAAGTCGGCTAATTAATTGAAATTCGTTAATTAACTTTTATTTAGTGAAAATAGACATATGGTTCCAATTAGAAACTTGCTGAGCCTCATTCAAAACCGCTAAATCAGTAATTTTTAGAAATACTTTGAGCACGTGAGAAGCGCAGTAGTGCGCTGAAGTTACCACTCGTGGAGCAGGTACAAGGCTGGGGCTAAATAAAAGTTGTAGAAATTGCGCGGGCGCCAAACTGCAACCGCTAGCCTTGTACCTGCTTATTTAAATATTTATATATATATATATGGTCAAACATATTTTTGGCTTGGCCATTTACCAAGCACCCTCCGTAGATCGCAGCGGTTGGCTGTACAAGTGCTCTGCGGAAAGTGGACGCCTGGGAATTTCCAGAATGATACGAGACTAAAACGTTTACACGCACCAGATTTCTTCGAGTGTATAATGTCTCGTTGTTTCGCAATATTGAGAAGAAGTAATAGGGTGATTTTAATGTTTCCATAGTCGTTCAGAGGCTGCGCCTTTCACTGGAAGGCGCAGCCAACCAGTGGAAGACAACGGGCGCGTGCTTGTGGCTAAGCTTCTTCTTCGCTACGAAAACGTCGGCTATGGCTTTCTATCTCGTCACGCTCCGCTTGAAACCCGGCCTGAGAAGCTTCAGCATCTTCCAGCCCCTTGTAGAAAAGGGAAAGCGCGCTGATTGTTCAAATTTAAAACTCGAGGTGGGCGAGTGTGGGAAAGATTAAGGACTTTGTCGAGGCTCTTTGAATATTTTTGGGCCCAACTGCCATCCGTAATGGGACGAGTGAATGCGATCCGTCTTCTCTTTGCAAGGACGACATCTTCCGGATTCATTCGAAGAGGACGAAATTCGAGATTCGCTTCCTAGTTCACTCTTCCAGAAACCCAGCAACCTTGGTACTCTCCCCTCCCCCACCCTATCTCTCTCTCTCTCTCTATTTTTTTGTTGGCTTTGTTTTTTATTGGCGCTTTTCCTATTTTTCTATTCGTGCTTTTCCCTTCTTCTTTCTTTCTTTTTCATGTGTTTTGTCTTGCTCTTTCTTATTTTTACATTTTTCGTGTTTTTTGTTCCTTATTTGCAGCCAAGCGTGCGACATTTTTGGTTCAGCTCGCGGGCAAGCGATAGCACGGGGTCGCATTTGGCGGGTAAACAAACGCACGACGGGCGCAAGGAACAGACGATCTGGCACGTCGTGCGAGAACCACCGGCACCAATGTTTTCACTTTGTAGCAGAAAGAAGAATGTAAATCAAGATGATTTAAACCGTGATCTGAACGCGGTTTGAATCTGACCAGTTTTACTATGATGATTTCAGTCAAATTTTTCGGATAAAAATAACTCCGAAAATAGTTTTCATATGGAATTTTCCTATCATATGATGCTTTCTATGTCCAGTCGTTCTGCATTTAAATTGAGGAATCGTCAAGTAAGAAATATTCACATCAGGCTGAACCGCATTGTTCTTCCGAGCAAATCGAATCATTGAGCTTTCGTGCTACCGCCCACTTCGTTCGTCGGTTACATAACGGCATATTGCGAGCAAACCAGAACGCGAAAGAAAAAAACAAAAAATAGGAAGCTGATCTCTTATTGCTTGCAAATCAAAAATTAAAAAAAGCAAATTAGGCTTCTTTTTTTTTTTTTTTTGTAGCTAGAAAATTCACGCTGTTTTTTGTTCTAGTATGACTGCATGGGGGTTACATGAATAAAGAAAGTTGCAAATTAAATTTCATTTTAAAGTTAAGTAATACTTTCATCCGCATTGTTATTAATGATCGGACGGATTAATCAAATAACCTGCCTTGTTTAGAAATACATGTGGTGATAAAGAGTCACCGATTTTTTCTTACAGTGATTTCAATTTAATTAATTTAAGTTTAATAAAAAAAATCGTGTTTAACGATAACGATGACGTGACGATAAAGGGAAGCCGGCGATCTTTTTTTTATTTTCCCTATTACATCTAGATACACGAACTCGGTCCTGTTTACAAAAAGAAACGTTTACCAAAGTCTCTGAGCAGTACTCATAGTGAACCTGATCTTATTCAGCACGCTTAATAAATTTGACTTGAATGAACAAAACTCGAATATACATCAACCAAATGTGAACGGCATAGCTGCAAGTTTCGCTTTTCCTTATTGGGGTCTTTTAGCAAACCGCTACCATGCTCCGCGTACCGCACTACCGGGGACTTTGAAGCATGCCGTCTAACGCGCGCTTAACATCATGTTTCAAAGTCTCCAGTAGTCCAGTACACGGAACATGGTAACGGTTCGCTAAAACTCCGTCCCTATTGTCGTTTTACTTTGTGCACGTCTTTTTTGAAATCGTTAGAAAGGCCTTTCGAGCAGTCCATGTTAAAAGTCATCCATGTGACTTGCTGTTTACCTACGTCTTCCTTCACAAAATAATTCGTATTTGCCAGTGTGTTTATGCGTCAAATGCAAGTACTTTAACGCTTCGTCCAGCTGGATAATGTTGCAATGTCACACCATAAATATGTGCGTGACACATGCGCTTGTCGCGTTTCAAATGTTAATTTTTTTTTTTTACAACGCTTTAATTATACGTTTATTTTAGGAACGTGTCAGTGATTGAAAATGTGTACAAGACAGGACACCGTATCAAGAGATTTTTGAGCTTCATATTCAAGATATCAAAATCCAAGATCTCGAGAGAGCTTGGATTTTTGCGGTGGTGTGGAAGGCAGCAGCGACAGTATGAACGCTTTCTAACAGTTTCTTTTGCCTTAATTAGTGCCGGCGATACAATTCTAGAATTGCTCTGTACTATAGTACCTTCACCACTATTCACACTGCGCACACCCTGGTTGGAGTTTATCCACGAGTCAAAATAACTGAAGGGTTGAACTAAAACTTTCGTTTATAATTATTATTATTCTTCGAGATTCGAAAAGTACTTGCGACCATTTTATCTACCGAGCAACTGTTCACCTCCTTATTTTTCTTATAAAGAAGCACGTGCGCATAGTGCAGAAACTCTGCTGCGCAGAAACACCCCTTCAACCGTCAGCGCCATTGCCATGACATGACGTCACTCCTCTTTTTGCGGCATCGGTGCTAAACTCACTGCGTACAAATGTCTTCCCTCTGCAGTGTCGGGACACCTGAACCGGAGCAACTGCAATGACCTGTGGGTGCACCACAAGGTTCGCACGTCGGGCACGTATCAGATCGACGTGGACGGCCAGGGACCCCTCAAGCCCATCTGGGTCGACTGCGAGATGGGAGACGGCAGGGAACTCTTTCAGGTGCGTCTCTCGAAGCGGTCTATGCTCCGTTTCGCTTTAAGTCCGAGACCACAGCCGACGCTAGAATCCAATGGAGTCGATCAAAAAGCGCCAAAAGTGCGTCGTCAGGGATAATTGAATGACGTACAACTAGGCTAGGTGGCGCAAGCTACTGATCAACATAAAGGGCACAGCCGTTAGCAGCTATCCATCCATCCGGTCATAGGCGTCTTTGTGCGTTTGCTACGCCATGACTGAAACAATCACGCACAGTGAGTGCGCCATGATCCTGCACTTTTATTTTTGTAAGTGATTGGTTTAGTTAGTTATAGCAAAACCCGCTAAGACTAAAGTCCCGCAGTGTTTTTCTTTTCTTTTTTCTTACACTTGCATTAGTTGCTGGCGAATGTTTTAAAATCTTGAGAATATTGTTGCCGTCTGGCGATATTGAAATGAACCCCGGACCAATGAGTGAATCTCAGGTTCAGCAATTTACGATTTAATGCAATGTTTCAACTGTTGCAAGAGCTTGATTACATACGTGAATGAGTTAAAAGCAAAACAAGCATCGATTGAAACTAAGTTAAGCGCTATTGACGAAAGATTGGTGGTAGTGGAAATGGAGCGTTCTCGCTTAACGAAGCTCAGCAAGAATTGTGCGTGGTGCGGCAGGGTATTGGTCATGTGCAGGATGACGTTGTTTCACTGCGTTCTCGTATAGATGAGATGGAAGATAGATCGCGTCGGGACAATCTAATCTTTCATGGGTTTGTTGATCGTCCTTCAGAAACCTGGGCTCAGAGTGAACAAAAAGTTATTGCTGGTCTTTCAACTTTGCAATCTCTGCCGATTGCATTGCACGTGATCACAGAATCGGCTATTTTAAGAAAAATAAATGTCGTCTGGTAATCGTAAAATTTGAATCTTTCAAAGCGAAAGACAAGATTCTGCAATACAAACCTCTCATAAAAGGCAAAGGTTTGTCTGTAAATGAAGATTTTTCACCTGCGACGCGACTTGCGAGCTCTAAGCTGATTGATTTTGGAAAGTCATGGGGATCCGTGTTTTCCGTGCGATAATTATAATAAATTGCACGTTAACAACAAGGTATATGCTTACGATCCGAGGGAAGACTTGGTTCACGAAGTTATTACATCTAGCGCACGGCGTATTATTCATAATCATCATGCTGACAGTCATGACGCGCTCGAAGAAACATCAAGCTAGGAAAGAGCGGGGATTGGGACGCAGCCTTCCTTCGAAACACGTAATATTTCAGTTCTTTTTGGTAATGTTTGCAGCGCCATGCACTGTCGAGAGGATCTGAGTTCCGCATTGATTCCAGTGATGGTGAAATAGTGGTTCTCACGGAAACGTGTTTATCTAGCAAAATTCAAAACAATGAAATGTTTAACTGCCATAAACGGTTCAATGTATATTGATATGATAGGAGTGGTAGACTTGGCGGTGGAGTACTGATTGCCGCTGTGAATAGCATTGCATCTTCAATCATCGATGTATGTAGCCAAATTTAAACTGTCTGGATCGACCTGTGTGTAAACCACAAGCGACTGATATTGGGTGTTTGTTACCGCCCTCCAAGTGCGAACTTTTTTTGTGAAGATTTACATGGCTCACTCAATAAGATAATTACTCGCTTCTCTACTTTGCCCATCATTCTAATGGGTGATTTTAATTTTCCTGCCACTGTGTGATCTGGAATTTCCCCAGTTGCTTAACCATTTTCTTTGGAAAGCAATATTTTGTAGATTTATGTTCTGATTATAGTCTTTCGCAATTGGTAACCAAACCTACCCGCACTACCAGCTCATCAGCAAATATACTAGACCTTATCCTAACAACATGCCCGAATTTAGTCTCGTCCATATTACATTTACCGGATCTAAGTGATCATGGCCTATTACATTTTGATATAAAATGCCGTCGGGGGCTGTACGAAATACCTTCAAACGTGTACGAGACTACAGTAAAGCTAACTTTGAGGCAGTTAATAGGGACCTGTGCACTTTTATAGAAACTTTTTTACCCTGCTTTCATGAGCGTTCTGTTAATGATAATTGGAACTTATTCAAGATGGAACTTGATTGAGTTTTAAATTTGCATACCCCTCTGAGGAAGGTGGTTTAATAGAGCGCTCAATAGATTGCGTAACAAGAAGAAGCCTTTATTTCGTGCTGCGAAAAAAAATTTGACTGGTCGACGATGGGTTGCTTATTACACTGCTGCTGATTCATACAAAACTGCTGTAGATCAAGCCAAAGCTATAGTTTTTCACTGCACCTTACCGTCCATGTTAATAAATAATCCTAAACAGTTTTGGAATGTCATGAAAGGAAACAGTAGAACTTCAGTGTCATTGAAGGCCGATGATGGCAGTCTCATTGCTAGTGTGGATTGCGCTAATATTCTCAATTATGTATTTATAAGTTGTTTCTTGGTTCCTTCAAGCTCTCCTACTTCTGATTGCATGCCTTATGACTACCTGCCAATGTGTCGGCTAGCGGTTGATCCTGAGGGCTTTGTTAAAATAATTGATTCCCTCAAACTGTCATCATCAGCAGGAATCGACGATAATAATACAAAGTTCCTAAAAAACACGAAGATGAATACGTCAATTTTGCTCTCTGCTATATTTACTCAGCCCCTACAGTTCGGCGTTTTACCTGATGATTGGAAGGTCGCCAGGGTGGTTGCTGTTCACAAGGGAGGTAATAAACATAGTCCTCTAAACTTTCGCCTTATATCATAGACCAGTGTCCCATGCAAAATTCTTGAGCATATAATTTATTCCAATTTAGTAAATTTCTTAGATTCAAACTGCTTATTTTGCCCATTTCAACATGGTTTTCGGAAATCATTCTCATGCGAAGCACAGCTTGCGTCGTTCACAAATGACCTTTACTCTATACTTGACCAGAGGTCAAGTATAGATTGCATCTTCTTGGATTTTCCAAAAGCGTTTGATAAAGTGTCTCACAAACTACTTCTGTTAAAACTCAGTAAACTAAATATCGACACTAAAGTTCTGATCTGGATACATTCTTTCTTGACTAATCGCAAACGATTGATTACCATCAATGACTCTAGTTCCACTTTAGTTTCTGTCACTTCAGGAGTGCCGCAGGGTTCAGTCTTAGGACCTTTGCTATTTTTAGTCTATATCAATGACTTACCATCTAATATTTCTTCCAAACTTTCACTATTCGCTGATGACTACGTCCTATACAACGAAGTAACCATGAACCTTGAATGAAGACAGTTACAAAATGATATTAAAGCAGTGTCACTTTGGTGAGAATCATGGTCAATTCAATTAAATCAACTGAATGTAAATTTATTCGCATATCCAGGTGTACAGCAGCCCCTGCAGATTATAATATTAAAGGAATTGCGTTACCGTCGGTCTCGGAGTACATATCACATCTGATCAAACATGGAAACATCACATAAATAACGTAACTAACAATGCAAATCGCATGCTGGGATACTTAGAGAGAAACTTCTCATTGGCACCCCGTTCATTAAAGGTGATACTGTACAAAACTTTCGTACGACCAAAGCTAGAGTATGCATAATCTATATGGGACCCTTGGTCAATCTTCACTAATTGGATCACTTGAAGCCATACAAAACAGATCAGTAGGTTTCATTTGCTCCATCATGAAACCGCAAGTATATCCTTAATGAAGGCTATATTTCACGTCCACATCTCTCAGTACGCAGAAAAATCGCTCGGTTAAGCCTATTTCACGAAATTTATTACACTAATGTTACCCTGTGAGAAAGGCTTTTTGAACTTCCTTTTTGTGTTTCATCACGAGTCGATCATCAACATAAAGTTGGCATCCCTCATTCAAATTGCAATGCTTTTTACCATTCTTTTGTACCATGCATAGAGTTATTATAATGTACGCTAGAGGTTCAACTGGCGCTAGTGTCTACGCGACTTCCGTGACGCGAATTGAAGCAGACAGCAACCAGTCTTCTTTTGCAGTGCTCCCGTGCATTCCTTCGGGAAAATGCGCGTGCAGTTTGTCTTCGCCGGAAAATAACACGGAACATTTTGGTTATTTGGGTCGTACCGAATAGTATGTACCTTGATTAACACTGTAAAAGTAATTGCTTTAGTTAGCGCATTTTTCTTCATCAGTGAACGATGTTTAACTTCGCTACATATCAGTCCCAAACGTGTGTCCGCAGCGGGTTTGTTAAAGCAAGCGACGATTCAAAGCAAAATTACAATCGAAACGATTATAGAGTGTGTTCAAGGCTCGCCAGCATTCCGGTGACGCTTGTCTATACATAATATGCCAGTCCTGTCACCATATGAAAATGCTCCCGTCGTGCATGAGCGGATAAAAACCTTCAAAACGTAGAGAATAAAGTCCGTGGGCTATGAAAAGTGTCTCTTCGTATTGTTTTCTCTGCCGGGCAGCTTTTATCGGGCACTTGTTCTCAAAGATATTGGGCGCGCTGGTGATATTTTGAGCGTAGAACAAGCAGCTTCGCTCAGGGCAGAAAGAATAAGCAGTACTTACTTATTTAAAATCGGAATAGATTACGTGGACTTCGATTTATTTTGATCGTACATGCACTGCAAGTTACTGATCCAGTGTTACTGCGTAGTTCCTGCCGCCGCTCTTGATTTTCCAGACGTCCTTCGTTCGTTTGGCATGTATATCCCCCATGCTGGAAATCGCCGACGCCGCGTTCGGGCTAACAGTGTCCGACAGTGCGCATAAATACACGTACGAAGCCGTTTTAGCACCGTTTTTAATGCGATGAATTCGAAAGAAAAACGCCGTAACTGACCAATTCTTTCGTCGGCCTGACTGAGAAATGTTCCAAGCTACCTAGTACGAACGAATTATTTGGAATATTTGCTCTTATGATCGAGCGCAGGGAGAAAATGCACTCGCTTTTTTCCATAGAAATGCATTACCGGAAGTCAATTTTCGACTGGTTGCTGTCTGCTTCAATTTGCGTCAGCACACTAGCGC